ACCAAGCTTGGTTGTGGTGGAGTGATGGTAATGCTTGGTTGGTCTCAATTTTCTGTTTAGGAGGTTGTCATAGATGGGTTTGTGGTTTTGTTGTGGAATTTGAGGGGTGGTAGAGGTGGTGGAGCGGTTTGGGGTGTAGGTTCATTTTGTTGGGGGTTGGAAGAGGATGAACCTTGGAGTTCCTTCCCACTTTTTCTCTTCTTAGAACCGAAAACCATTGTCACCAATATCAAATTGCAGTCCAATTCCAAAACAATCACTCACAATAGTCACACTACAACAATCTCCAAAACCAAGAATCACCAAGTTCAAACCACAAGCAAGCAATCTATGACAAGGAACAAACTAACACAAACAACAACTCAACAATTAATAATGCTTAAGATGATGAATGAATACAATATAGGCATGCACCAATCAAAAATTTCAACATGAAAATTCATAAACATACAATTTCTCAACCAAAAGCATGTTTCAAATTCAAAGGTAAATGAGAGTAAGGAAGAAATGTATACCAAAATGGATATCAATAATTGCTCCTACTATCCCCTTGAAGAAGAAATCAAGACTTCCTCCAAGAACCCACCAATGGTGAAAGAAATTGCCACACAAAGAGGAATACCGAAATTGGGGGTTTTAAAGGATGAAATTTCAGGTTTTTGGTGAGAAAAATTGTAGAAGAGTGAGGGAATTGTTGAAATTTGATGGAATTTGATGAATTAGGAAGAGAAATTTAAGAGGAATGGGTTAGGGTTTGAAATGGAGTAAGGAGTAGAGAGGGAAAAGGGGAAAAAAATCTGATTATGTTTTCGGGCATGTGGCTGAAAATAAAAGGAGAAGTCGCAGACCTGAAGGGCCGCGACCGCGGGCCTAAGGGCCGCGCCCGCGACATGCTCTGACCGCGCCCGCGGGATCGTATGCCGCGCTCGCGGCTTTAGGGTTTCAGGTTTCTGTTTTTCTGGACTGAAGGATGCCGCGCCCGCGGGCCTATGGGCCGCGCCCGCGGCTGTGCCTGTCCGCGCCCGCAGGGGAGAACGCCGCGCCCGCGGCTAACTCTGCCCGCGCCCGCTCCAGTCATTACTGAAGCATCTCCGCTTTATCTTGAAAACAGGGGAGGGGTTGCCGCGCCCGCGGGCCTATGGGCCGCGCCCGCGGGTGACTTGTGCGCGCCCTCTCCAGGGTCCTCTCTGGGCATCTCCACTTCCACTTCCTCTTTCTCCAAACTCCTTCTCTTCTCCAAACCCAACTTAATATATCATGCACCCAAAGATCAAGGTACCTAAAGAATGAACAACGCATTCAATAAGAGATTAAAGGAAAAATCATCCAAAAATAGTCAAAGACAAAAAAAAACACAAAATCAAAAAGGGTTGAGAATTAGGGTTGCCTCCCGAAAAGCGCTTCTTTATAAGGTCATTAGCTTGACCATTTCACATTATCCTCAAGAAAGTGACTTAGGATCCGGCGGATCGAGCCTCATGTACTCAATCATGCCAATTTGATCATTGCAATAGTAGAGCTTCAAACGGTGGCCGTTGACCATGAACTTGTTCCCATTCGCTTCTAACTCAAAGGACCCATAAGGAGTTGTTTTTGAAATTGTGAAAGGCCCCGACCATTTAGACTTAAGTTTTCTGGGGAACAAACGGAGCCTAGAATTGAATAATAAAACCTTGTCCCCAACCTTAAAGCTCTTGTTCCTTATATGTTGGTCGTGCCACCTTTTGGTTCTCTCCTTGTAGAGTTTCGAGTTCTCATAGGCATCATAGCGGAGCTCCTCAAGTTCATTGAGCTTAAGTAGCCTCTTTTCGCCCGCCAAGGTCATATCCATATTGAGCCCTTTGATCGCCCACCAAGCTTTGTACTCTAACTCGGCCGGCAAATGACAAGCCTTTCCATAGACCAATCGGTAAGGAGTAGTACCAATCGGGGTCTTGTAAGCCGTCCTTAGAGCCCAAAGCGTATCATCAAGTTTGAGAGACCAATCTTTTCTAGACTTGTTCACCATCCTCTCAAGAAGGTTCTTGATCTCCCTATTTGATACTTCCACTTGTCCTTGAGTTTGGGGGTGGTATGGTAGGCCGATTTTATGATGAACCCCATAGCGTTTGAGGAGAGCTTCAAGTTGTTTCTTGGCGAAGTGAGAACCACCATCGCTAATAAGAACTCTTGGGACCCCGAATCTTGGGAAGATGATCTTTTTTAGAAGCTTGAGCACAACCTTGTGGTCATTGGTGGGCGAGGGTATAGCTTCGATCCACTTGGTCACGTAGTCCACCGCCACCAATATATAGAGATTGCCACAAGAAGAAACGAAAGGCCCCATAAAGTCGACCCCCCATACATCAAAGGGTTCAACCTCCAAAATATTTTGTTGAGGCATTTCATCACGCTTGGTTATGCCCCCACTTCTTTGGCACTTATTACATCTAGATATGAATTTGTGGGCATCCTTGTGCATTGTTGGCCACCAAAGAAGAGATTGAGAAAATTTTAGCCACGGTCTTTTCTACTCCTCCATGCCCACCACATGGCAATGAATGATAATGCTCAAGCACCCCTTCGATCTCATGATCCGGAACACATTTTCTAAAAAGCCCATCTCGACATTGCTTGAATAGATAAGGATCGTTCCAAAAATACCTCCTCACTTCTTTGAAAAACCTTTTCTTTTGTTGAGAGGAGAACTCCGGGGGAACGACACCACATGCTAAGTAATTGGCAATGTCCGCATACCAAGGGCTTGGTGTTGATGCAATGGCCATAAGAGCCTCAAAACCCAATTCTTCATTGATAGGCACGTCTTCTTTAGTCTCAAAAGGAAGTCTCGATAGATGGTCCGCTACATAATTTTCCGCCCCCTTTTTGTCCCTCATCTCCATGTCAAAGTCTTAGAGAGAAAGAACCCAACGAATGAGACGTGGTTTTGCTTCCTTTTTGGTCATAAGGTAGCGGACCGCGATGTGATCCGTGTAGACTATCACCTTTGAGCATATGAGGTAAGACCGGAACTTATCCATGGCAAAGACAACCGCTAGCATTTCCTTCTCCGTTGTGGTATAATTCTTTTGAGCTTCGTCGAGGGTTCTACTTGCGTAGTAGATGACACAAGATCTTCCTTCTTTCTTTTGCCCAAGCACGGCACCTACAGCAAAATCACTTGCATTGCACATTAGCTCAAAGGGCAAGCTCCAATCCGGAGCTTGCACCACAGGAGAAGAGATGAGGGCTTCCTTGAGCTTTTGAAATGCCTCAAGGCAACCCTCATTAAAATTGAACACAACATCCTTTTTGAGTAACTCGGTTAAGGGTTTGGCGATAGATGAATTTTTTTTGATAAACCTCCGGTAAAAACCGGCATGCCCAAGAAAAGCTCTCACTCCCGTGACGGAGGTAGGAGGGGGCAACTTACCAATCACCGAAACCTTAGCCGAGTCTACTTCAATGCCCTTTTTTGATACTTTATGGCCTAGGACAATACCTTCCTCGAGCATAAAATGGCATTTTTCCCAATTCAACACTAAACTCGTCTCTTGACACCTTTTCAAAACTTTTTCAAGGTTAATAAGGCATGTGTCAAAAGACGATCCACCAACACTAAAATCATCCATAAAAACTTCAATTTCATTCTCAAGCATTTCAGAAAAAATGGAAGTCATGCATCGTTGGAAAGTTGAGGGAGCATTGCATAACCCGAATGGCATTCTTCGGTACGAAAATGTCCCATATGGACACGTAAAAGTAGTTTTCTCTTGATCATTTGGATGGATAGGGATTTGGAAAAAGCCGGAGTATCCATCCAAAAAGCAAAAGAAAGCATGATGGGAGAGTCTTTCCAACATTTGATCCATGAAGGGGAGAGGAAAATGATCTTTCTTAGTGTTCTTGTTCAGCTTCCTATAATCAATGCACATCCTCCACCCGGTGACCGTCCGGGTGGAGATTTCCTTTCCTCCTTCTCCCTTGACAATGGTCATTCCACCCTTTTTGGGGACCACGTGAACCGGGCTAACCCACTTGCTATCGGAGATATCATAGATTATACCCGCCTCACGCAATTTCAAAATTTCCTTCTTGACTACCTTTTGGAGGTTGGGGTTTAACCTCCTTTGAGGTTCAATGGAGGTGGATTGATCATCCTCAAGGTGAATACGATGCATGCATAAAGAAGGGCTAATACCCTTAATATCGTCAATGCTATACCCTATCACATTTCTATATTTTCTCAAAACAACAATCAATTTTTCCAAATCAAGACCATTAAGGGAAGCATTGACAATAATGGGGTATTCTCCTTCATTTCCAAGATAAGCATATTTCAAAGAAGGGGGAAGGGGTTTGAGTTCTACCTTGGGAGGAGGCTTAGAACTCTCCTCCAATTTTTCCTCCTTATGCTCAAGCTCATCATGCTTAGTACCGTTCTCTTCTTCCTTTTTGGCTTCTTCAATGGCCATAGCAAATTCCTTTGCTTCTTGGGAGAAGTAATCTTCCTCACATGTGAGAGCTTCGGCCATAGGATCTTTAGGACTCATGACAACCCTTCCCAAACGATCTAGCTCTTCATTGACAACATCGACCCTATAACACTTCTCAACCATGGGGGTTTTGAGTAGCTTAGAGAATTCAAAGACAATTTTTTCATCGGCCACTTCACATGTAATGGTATTATTCTTGCAATTGATTACCGCCCCCAAAGTTTTAAGAGCTTCACGGCCCAAGATCAAAGGTGTATCCACATCTTCTTCCATATCCATCACCACAAAGTCACATGGCACATAGATATGCCCAACTTGAATAGGGACATCTTCAAGCTCGCCACAAGGTAGCTTCACCGATCGATCGGCCAATTGAATGGTTTTCCTAGTGGGGATCATCTCAATGTTAAGCTTTTGAGCAATGGATAGAGGGATTAAACTAACACTTGCTCCGAGGTCGGCTAGGGCACCCCTAGCTTCCATGTTCCCAATTTTGACCGGCAAGGTAAAGCTTCCCGGGTCCTTTTACTTCTTGGGCATTTTGTGTTGAACAAGTGCACTCACTTGATGGGGAAGAGTGATAAGCTCATCATTGAGCTTCCTTTTGTTGGTGAGATTGTCTTTCAAGAACTTGGAGTATGAAGGCATTTGTGTGACAACTTCAATGAAAGGGAGGTTAATGTGTAAGTTTTTCATCACACTTAGAAACCTTGCAAATTTATCGTTCAATTTTCTCTCCGCAAGACGACCGGGAAAAGGAACCAGTCCATCAAGGTTTCTAGCCTCACTAGAAGTTGAGGATGTCACCACATCCTTAGTCTTCTTTTTCTCCATACTCTTCTCTTTCTCATCAACCTTCTCTTCTTCAACTTTCTTATCATCACTCATCTCTTCTTCTCCCTCCTTTTCCTTACCATCCTCTTCCTTGGGACTCTCATAAGATGTACCCGATCTCAATGTGATTGCCTTGCAAGAGTCGGGTTTTACAATATTGGAAGGGTTGGTTTGTGATTGTCCGGGCAAAGTGGAAGATGAGTTAAAAGAAACTCTCTCGGCCAATTGTGCTAGTTGTGAATAAACCATCTTGTTATGAGCCTTGACTTCTTGCATTTGTTGATTCATGGTTTGAAGTTGTTGAAGAATTTGACTTTGAGAAGAATCGGGTTGAGATGCTTGCTCTTGACTTCTTTGAGTTGCTTGGGTTTGATTTTGGTATTAGTGTTGATTATTGTGTTGGTTGTTTCTTGGGTAGTTTCCTCTTTGATTTTGGGTTTGGAATGGAGGAGGGTTTTGATATTGGGTGTTGGAATTGTATGGTTGTTGAGCCTGTTGATTCCATTGTTGAGTTTGGTTTGCAAATCCGGGTGGTGGTTGTCTCCAAGCTACTCCTCCACCATTTCCCCTATACCCTTCTTGCCTTGTGTTGTATGCCGCTACATGCTCCGGGCTCAACCCGCCACAATAGGATGTATCATGGTTGGTGCCACCACAATTTTGACAAGAGAAAGAGTTGACTTGGGAGGAGCTTGAACCACTAGCAACACTTATATTCAACTTGGCAAGCCCTTTTGTCAACATCTCAATTTGATGTTGCAATTGATCGACCTTCTCCAACTCATACTTCCCACCTTTCTTTGGTGCATTCCTCCTTCTTCCTCCCCAAGAGTAATTTTTAACTACCTCTTCGATCGTTGCTTCAACTTGATTTTGAGGGACTTTGATCAATTGTCCACCCGCTCCCGCATCCAAATTAGCTCGGGACATCGGTTCCAAACCATCATAGAAGAACCTCATGAGTAAGCTTTGATTGTACTTATGGTGAGGACATGCTTGCACCAACTCCTTAAACCTCTCCCAAGCTTCACTAAGAATCTCCTCCGCCTCTTGTTCAAAAGATGCTATCTTCCTCCTCATCTCGGCGGTTTTCTCCTCGGAGATGAATCTCTTCAAGAATGCTTGCACAATTTCCCTCCATGTCGTGAGAGAATTAGGTTTGACTTGCTTAAGCCACTTCTTTGCTCTCCCCCGCAAGAGATTGCCGAAATAGGTGCATCCGGATGTATTCTTGAGAAACTTGGTTGGTTTGTATCATGGCACAGAGTTCGAGGAACCTATCAAGGTGCTCAATGGGGTCTTCACTTGGTGAACCCGAGAATTGCTCCGCTTGAACCATTCGTGTGTATTGAGGATGGATGGTGAAGTTAGTCTCAGTGACGGGTAACAATATCCCACCGGTGAGCTCATAATCCTCCGGATTACCGAACTCACGGAATAATACATCCACTTGTTGTCCCGCCATTTCGTCACCTTGGGAATGTGAGGAACAAGAATCACTTTCACTATCAAAAATTGCACCAAAACCTCTTCCCTCTTCTTGATAGAGTCTACGGACTTGTCTCAAGGTTCGGTCGATTTCGTGATCAAGGTTGTGAGTAGGTGGTCCTTGAGACCTTCTTTGCATTCACCAAAGCTAAACAAACAATTAGCAATGACTAGCAAGTGGAAAAGGAACTAAACAAAAAGCAACAAAATCCACAAATTACGCAAATAAGTGTGCAAAACTAGCCGTTTCCCCGGCAACGACGCCAAAATTTTGATCGGTGGACAATAGGTCGTTAGTTTATTATCCTAGATCAATATTACAATTTATAACTCCTATCCTAGCTCTATCAAATTTTGCTTTAGATAGCGGTAAGGTAGGGTCGATTCCCAAGGAAACGGGGGTTTAACACAATTAATACGAAATCGAGGAGAAGTTGCTAATAACAAAAGGTGGTATTTGAATTTGTGTTGAAGAATTCTATGGACAAACTAACTACTATTGAGCCTAGAATAAACTAGAAATAAGGGAAATAGATTAAACACTTTTAAAAGCAAATAAATGGACAAGATTATAGAGATAACAATGACAAAAGCACTAGGGAAAGGGGGATTCAATCATGAACAAAGAGTACTAGCGAAAACCGAAAGGAAACCGATTCTAGGAGTATAAACTCTACCTAAAATAGTTCATTCTCATGCAACTACTTAAGCATGTCGACAAAATCATTCACACATAGATTAAATCATTCTCATGCATTCAATCAAGGGATATATTCTTGGGATTAGAGGTGCACACACTAACTCCAAGCATATTATAGCTCAAATCATCAACTCAAGAATAAGTCCCAATCAATAATCAATAGATATTCAAATACACATGATTTTCACCCCCTTCCCTAGCCTAAAAACCTAAGCTAGAAGGAAGGGAATGGCCATAACAACTAACATAAGCATGTATTCAATACCAACACAACCTAACATGATTCTAACTTGAAAGAAAAATCAAAGAAACTAATAAAGCTTGAATATTTATGGAAATAAACTCAAGTAAGAGCAATAAAACAAAGAAAATCAAAAACTAGAGAAACAAAAGTAAAGATTGATATTATAAAGATTACCAAATCATCAAAGTAGTAGCAACAATCTAGAAGAAAGCTTGAATATTTGATTACAAAGATTAAATCTTGAACACTAGTGTTTTCTCTCTCTAGAAACCATGAACTTCTCTCTCTACAAATGATTTTTGGGGCCAATGAAATAGTAGATGGTAAGAAAATCAAGCAAGGGACTATTTATGGTCTTCTACCAAAAGGAAGACAAAGGGCAAGGGAGAAGACTCTCCGAACAGGCAGCCGCGCCCTCTCCAAGCTGGGTAAATAGCCTCGTAAACCCCAGAAAGTCGCGCCCGCGGGGCTTCTCTGCCGCGCCCGCGGCACATATGCTCTGCGCCCGCGGATCGCCATCTCCACTTTCTTCTGCTGGCTTCAGACTTTTCCTATCCGCGCCCGCGGCTTACAAGCCCGCGCCCGCGGCCCATCAAAACAGCGCAACCTCTCCATCCTGGCATCTCCACTCCTTCGCCAAGCTCCTTTGGCATCTCCACTCGAGCTATTGATTCGTGAATCGCACATAAGCGCTGGGAGCTGTCAAAACACATAAAAAGGAGGTAAAAACTAGAATAAAAGACAAAAAGGGGAGAAAAAATACGAGAGGGGGCTAAAGTGACTAAAATCAAGATAAAAGGGGTTAAAATAGGCATAAGCAAGTGACAAATCTGGGGGAAATCGGTAGTAAAAAGGGGTTAAAATGGTGGCATAAATGCCATGCATCAGTTCCTTTTCCCGGTCGGCTTGCGGTGAGGAAGTTGAATGATAAGTTCACAAAATTTCTTAGTGTCATGAAGAATTTGCATATCAACCTCTCTTTTCTTGAATTTGTGACACAAATGCCATCTTATTCCAAGTTCCTCAAAGATATTCTCACCAACAAGAGGAAGCTCAATGATGAGCTTATCACCCTTCCACATCAAGTGAGTGCTCTTGTCCAACATAAGATGCCCAAGAAGGAAAAAGGCCTGGGAAGTTTCACTTTGCCGGTAAAAATTGGAAACATGGAAGATAAGGGCGCCTTAGCCGATCTTGGAGCAAGTATTAGTTTAATCCCTATATCCATTGCTCAAAAACTCAATATTGAGATGATACCTACAAGGAAGACAATTCAATTGGCCGATCGATCGGTGAAATTACCTTGTGGAGAGCTTGAAGATGTGCCAATTCAAGTGGGACACATCTACGTGCCTTGTGACTTTGTAGTGATGGATATGGAGGAAGATGTTAACACTCCTTTGATTTTGGGAAGTGAAGCTCTTAAAACTTTGGGGGCGGTCATCAATTGCAAGAACAACACCATCACTTGTGCAGTGATCGATGAAAAAATTGTCTTTGAATTTTCAAAGTTGCTCAAGACCCCCATGGTTGAAAAATGCTATAGAGTTGATGTTGTGAATGAAGAGCTAGATTGTTTGTGGAGGGTTGTGATGAGGCCTCAAGATCCAATTATTGAAGCCCTTACATGCAAAGAAGAGTTCCACTCTCAAGAGGCTAAAGAATTTGTCATGGCAATGGAGGAATCCTCAAAGGAGGAAGTTGAACAACAAGTTGAGGTCGAGCTTAAGTCCAAGGAGGAGAAATTAGAGGAGAGTTCTAAGCCTCCTCCCAAGGTAGAACTCAAACCCCTTACCCCTTATTTGAAATATGCTTTTCTTGATAAGGAGGGAAAATACCCTATTATTGTCAATGCTACCCTAGATGGTCTTAATTTGGAAAAACATCTTGATGTTTTAATGAAATATAGGGATGTGATAGGGTATAGCATTGATGATATTAAAGGTATTAGCCCTTCTTTATGCATGCGTCGTATTCATCTTGAAGATGATCATTCCACCTCCATTGAACCTCAAAGAAGGTTGAACCCCCACCTTCAAGAGGTTGTGAAGAAAGAAATTTTAAAACTACGTGAGGCGGGCATCATCTATGCTATCTCCGATAGCGAATGGGTTAGCCCGGTTCATGTGGTTCCAAAGAAGGGTGGAATGACCATAATCAAGGATGAAAAGGGAGAGGAAATCTTCACCCGGACGGTGACCGGGTGGAGAATGTGCATTGATTATAGGAGATTGAACAAAAACACCAAGAAAGATCATTTTCCTCTCTCTTTCATGGACCAAATGCTTGAAAGGCTTTCTAACCATGCTTTCTTTTGTTTCTTGGATGGGTATTCCGGATTTTTCCAAATCCCTATCCATCCAAGTGATCAAGAGAAAACTACTTTCACATGTCCATATGGGACATTTGCATACCGAAGAATGCCATTCGGATTATGCAATGCTCCCTCTACTTTTCAAAGATGCATTACTTCCATTTTCTCTGAGATGCTTGAAAAAGAAATTGAGGTTTTCATGGATTATTTTAGTGTTGGTGGCTCGTCTTTTGACACTTGTCTTTTTAACCTTGAAAAAGTTTTGAAAAGGTGTCAAGAGACGAGTTTGGTTTTAAATTGGGAAAAGTGTCATTTTATGGTTGAGGAGGGCATTGTCCTCGGCCATAAGGTTTCAAAAAATGGCATTGAAGTAGATCCGGCCAAGGTTTCGGTGATTGAAAAGTTGCCCCCTCCTACTTCCATCACGGGGGTACGGGCTTTTCTTGGACATGCCGGTTTTTACCGAAGGTTTATCAAAGATTTTTCTTCAATCGCCAAACCCTTGACCGAATTACTCAAAAAAGAGGTTGTTTTTTACTTTA